GTCCAGATAAAATTTCGATTTTGTTTTTTTAAATTGTCTGTCCCATCCTCCATCTCTCTTCCCATGTCTCTCCTGCAGGACCAATCTCTGGGCGGCTGGCAGGTGAAGAGAGTAGTAGGCAATGCTAGCCCCATCGTCTACAAGTTTCCCCACAAGTTCACTCTGAAGGCTGGAGGAACTGTCACTGTAAGTTACTCTGAGTTCTGTGGATCTGTGTATTGATCTGTAGATTGTTAATTTGACTTATTGTTTGCCTAGTAATAAAGGTACTTTTTTGGCCTTTAGTAGTGCTATGGAGCAGTATTTTGTGGTTCCCTTGTTTGTGTCGTGCACATGCGCATGAGCATGGGAATGACATAATGCACATTCCTGCCAATGTTTTCACACTTTTTCACTGATTGACAGGCAGCAGTAATGCGCTACGAAAAGTATCATTGTGCCAAAATTAAGGGCAGAAGACTGCAAGCTAGCAAAAATGGAAATATAATTTTTTCATAAATCAGCTTAAAAATGTTTTATATGTTTTTTTATATGTATAAGGAAATACATTCAACAAACACGGAACACTTTTTTGTTTAGAAGAAAACTCCACAGCGAACCTTTTTAAATATTTAATATTTTGGTTCTTTCAGTAGCAGCTTAAATTACTGACATTCATGATCTCTTGCAAACTTTGACCTTTGACCTTTGCAGATCTGGGCTGCATCTGGCAATGGAAGCCACAACCCCCCCACTGACCTGTTGTGGAAGAGCCAGAACTCCTGGGGCACTGGAGACCTCCTGCAGACCATCCTCATCAGTGCCAATGGAGAGGTCAGCTTTCACCTGTGTTTGTTTGAGCCTGTCCTGTATTTATGCTCCTTTTAACTGCAATAACTTAATTATTTTGTCATTTTTATTCACCATCAGGAAATGGCCATGAGGAAAGTGACACGCACCCTGTTCCAGGATGATGATGATGATGACATGGTAAAGTCCTCTTCTGTTTAGGCAACTCACAAAACACCATATATTATGCATCAGGAACCACACAGCTCCCAGCTCCCTGTGACTGCAGGCGAGCAGCACTGTTCAGTTACTCACCCTGTTGTGTGTCGCCCCCTGCAGGGAGCTCACAGCACAAGCGGCGCAGACAATGAGTACAACCTGAGGAGCCGCACGGTGATCTGCGACTCCTGCGGGCAGACGTCGGACCGCTCAGGTGTTTGCAGCAGTGGGGGTCTACCTGAAGGCCTCGTAGGACATTCCTTTTTCATGGGCAGCAACGAGCCCAGACAGGTACTATACAGTTATTGTAAATGATCAACAGCAGTCACACAGCATAAAGCAGAACAGCATTGTATTATATTTATCAATAAAATATATATCTAAATCTTTTTTTATTACTGATTAAAATAGTTTGATGAAGCATAGCATTTGATGTCACTCAAAACATCAAATAACACCTAAATAACTACTGAAAATGGCAGAAGTGCAGGCACCAGGACGGTATTGGCGTTTCAGTTAGATGCAAATAAAATCAATGACGACTGTGGAAACAACAATGCCATGTTGCGTAGGTTGCTATAGCAATAAACAAACAAGATGCCATATGTAGTGTGATGGTAACAGGAAATTTCACAGCCATAAACAGCCATAAAGTTTGACTGAGATGAACTGAAAACTCCATAGAGCAGCTTCACCAGAGTTAAATCCAACAAGACACCAAAAGGAAAGTTGAGAGAGGCATATCAATACACCAGCTTATGCCTCACACACATAAAAGGATTAAAACAACCCCAAAAATGACAAAACAAGCTCCATATTTAACTCTGTGTGTAACGTATTTGCAGCAAAGAGAGAGAGGGACTGTGAGATGTTTGCAGGAAACCTTTGGGGTTCCCTATTTGCTTTGATTGGCTAAGTCTCAAATCTAATGTTTCTGGTTGGAAGTAAACATTTTCAGTGTCAATGTGATTTTTACTACTAGGAGGATGATCAAACGGTGCAAAAGGATCCTTGGTGATATGAATCAGTTATTCTGAAATTAGACCATACAAACCTTACTGTTAAAAAAACTGGTAATGCCTTATTTTATAGGTCTGTATTTTCCAAATAATTTCTCTAGGAATTTCCTTGGAAAGAAATGCTTGATTCTCCTCATTGACAAATCTTAAATTTTTGCATGCTCGTCTGACCTGGGTGGTCTCTGACACTGTTGGCCACGTCAGACATTAATTGATTATTATGAGTTTCATTGTCTCCACGAGAAGTTTTTTGCAAATGCTAACTCACATTACTGTCAAAATAAAAGGAACAAAACATAATATTTTACTGAATTGCACAAATACAAAAGCAGTGCATTACACTTTTCTGTTGATTATATTGTATGCTGGTTTACTGGAAAAAGGAATGTTATTACATTAGAGAAATAGAAAACAGCTAATTAGTGTCTTGACTGTGTTTTTGTTATAGATCTTGCTTACCAAAGTGATATCATCCTTTACCCAGTTTAATTGTTTGATATAATATAGTCTAATAATACAGTTTTCTTATTTTCTGCACATTTAACGCTGCGCTTTGTCACTTCCTCCTATAGGGCCGCGTCAAGCCGGAGAACTGCTCCGTCATGTAAAAACCAGACAGCACCTCACCTCCTGTAGCCCATAAAGGAGAATAATTTTCTACCATTGGGATGTTTCTCTTTTTTTTTTTTTTATATGATCTTGTCTTATTTTGTACTCAGATTAATCTGTGGGTTAAATTTGCTTTTAGGTTTTGGCAAAGGGCACAGGATTTTCATATTATTAGTTTGTTTTGTATTTTCAAGTTATGTTATTGCATGTGTGCCTGCTAATGCTTGTATTGTATCCTGCTTTTCTTGCACGCACATACACACACTCTCTCTCACACACACACACACACACACACACCAGCTCCATTGACCAGTGCTTGTGCTTCGATCCGAGTCGGGGTTTCACATTTAATGGCCAGGCTGTCAACACTCAACACGCACAGCTAGTGAGCCCTGTCAGGAATAAGTCTCTACAGCCATACAGACAGCAGGAGAATGGATCTTGAGGGGTTTGTTTATCATGTTTATCACCCATCAAATAGATCAGATCTTTATTTGTTAATTAAGATGTTTACAGCTGAAATTTGTTTTTTAGGAACAGTATTGTGCTCTTTATATGCTACAGAGAAAATAAATTACATAGTTTTTTTTTTTTTAACTATGTTGGAAAAGTCTCCAAAGAAAGCCAAAGTACTATAAGCTCAGGGTGTTCAGTGGGTTTTTTTCACCTCAGCCTTAGACAAACATGTTGTAGTACATTTTCTAAAGTATGTAGATTTAGATCATACAGTTGGGCAGCTGTGGTGCAAATATTTAAAATTGAAAAATATATTATTATGAGAGGAATATATTTTTTCTGCAGTCCACAGCTCAGCCCCAGAGAAATGTATTTGGTTTTGTTTTTGAATGTGTATTAAAATAAGGAATTATTGTTTGCTGGATAAGTTGAATGTACCCAGTACATGCGTATCTTGATTTGAAGTACATTTAAATGTGTTGCCTTATTTTTTTTTATTCTTAAAGAAATTCCACAGATGTTTTGCTATGGTGATAGGAAAATGTAAAATTGGTTTACTATCCATAGAAATATCAGGAATAGGTTCTATGTTTGGAGTCTACTGACAAACTTGGTGCCATATATACAATATATATTGATATCTCAGCTGACTAACCAAACCAGCACTATTCTAATGGAGAACTGTTGCTGCTATTTAAAGAGTGCAACAGTAGTTTTGGTAACATTTTGACAAGCTTTTTTTACATATTAGAAATATGCATGTGCCTTTTTAGAGGACAGAAAACAATCATTGTTCTTTGCACACATGCCACGTATTGCAGTCTTGTGACTGTCAGCTGTCCTTTGTGTTGCTCCAAAGAACTGGTCATAAGGGCTTTTTTTTTTTTTTCCTTTCCTCTAATCTTATTGGCTTTGCAAATCCCCAGGCATGATTTTGGGATCTTTTGTAGGATTGTGGGGTTTTGTATACTTTGTGACATTGGCTTCATGCACTGCTTTTATTCAGGGCCTCGCCAAATATGCACAGCAGGTAGATTTGTACTGTAGTCTGGCAGCTTAAGTCACTTATACTCCAGTGAAAAGCATATCAAAGCATTTATGGAAAATACTTGATAGTCTCTTTTTATTTTTTTTTTCAGTTTTCTATTATACTTAATAGATGGTATTTGTGCCACATTAGACTTTTTCCTGCTTTAATAGTTTTGGTTTGACACTATGATCCGCAACAATCGTTAATGACAATCATTAGTTCAAGAAATGACCAGCTCAAAATATGTTTAGTTTTTGGCCTCAATGACTCAGATTTATATGACATAGCATTTATCTCATATGCACATTAAATTTATGAGACAGAATACTGTATTTAATTGTGTAACATATGCAACTATTAACTAAATGATCCCCCTCCGAACAGATCATTAAAAGGGTGTGGTCAGGGTTTTTCAGAGGCCCGTCTGACTGATTATAAGCCGGAAAGCAACTTCTTCCTGTCAACTGCTGCTTCTTGTTTTTGTGTTTACTTAAACAGACAGCTGCTCTTTAACATTTGTATGCAATGTTAGTTCAAGTTAATAAATGAACCAACACACTTACAAAATCAGAATCAAAACACAGATGTGGTCTAAGTGACAAAACCTCTTGAGAAGGTCTTTGTGAAATCCTGAACCCTCCCTGTTAAAGTCTTGACGGAGGCCTCATGAATCACTTGAAGGATTTTAAAGAAAGGGATTTCTTGTTGTGAGCCTTTAATGCCAAAGTTGTAATTTGCTTGAAGAGGGATTTGTGTTATTTCAAATGATGATACATAGTGATACTGTAACATTACAGAAAAGCCATGCATTCTTCTTTTCTAAAATAATGAGTAAAATTCTTTTTTCTCTGACTCACTGTTGTAGTTATTTCCTTCATATAATACATCAATCACTGATGAAAAGTGCAGCCATTTTTATTTACATTATATACACGTCATGTTCCCATGGTTACATTCAAAAATATATGGCCATATATAAAAAAAGCTGAAGCTCTACTCAAAGCTATAGCATTTAAAGCACAATTTACATTCCTTTTGGTACACAGGGTTTCAATTAGCTAGTTAACAGAACACTTCATTTGATCCAAATTCAACACAAAACACAAACATTATAGAATTTCTAAAATTATTAATAGGTAACAAGATTTTGGTTGACAAAATACAATTTAGAGAACTAATGACACACTTAAAGTTAGGACTGTTTTAAAACATTTTGAAGCAAACTGACCAATAGTTTCCATAGTTGTACTGTAAATGCAGTTTTGGCTAAATGATTCACCTGTATTAAAAATACAAAAACATTTTTATTTATTTTTTTATTTATTTTTTTATTTTATCACTTTGAGCAGCAGTATCTAGTCTTAGAGCGTCCCTGTTAAGCTGAATAATCATTTGAAGACACTGTCAAATGGTTTGATAAAAACTGACACTTTGGCAGCAGGTATAAGCATGTCCATATGACCAGGATTTAAAGTGGAAGTCTCATGTCCTACATGAATCCGACAATGTTACAGGAGTGCAGTGATAAATTGATGGAGTACTATTTTACGTAAGAAAAAATGTTTTTTTGTATTTGGCTCTTCAAATACCATGCAAAGACAAAATGTGCTGTAGGACACTGCATTGACATTCATAATGCTGCTTTGATTTGGCTTGTAATTTCCTGCTCGATGATGGTTTGTTTTTCTCGACATAAACAGTGTTTGTGCTAACACTGAACCTTTGGTATCAATTAGCGAGCAAATTTGTATGTACGTTCTGCCACAGCCCCTTAACAATATGATCATCTTAAAATAGGGCTGTGCACATTACTGTGAAGCTAACAATATATTTATTTCTATATTTACAAAGTTTTAATCTGACAGCAGCAATAAGTGAGCCACAGTTCTTTAAACACGCAGAGGATACGTACATCATTGTGTATCTAAATGCCACATTTGGAAGAGACAGTGATATGAATTATCTTTAAATTGCTGTTCATCGTGGCCTTCAGGTGGTAAAAAAAAACAACCTTTAGTACTTTGGTTCCTGAAACCTGAATATAAGCAATAAAGTGACTCCAACACTGGCGGGATTATTTCCACATTGTTTAGTCCATTGTCTCATTCCTTTTTTGAGGTTGACAAGGTTTTTCAATGAGCAGACCAAAAAGTAGTCCAGCTGTGATGAGTTCATCCAAAGCTGCCTGTGGATTTTAAAAATGTAATATAAAAGCAAAATAAAAACAATGTCAACAAAACAAAAGTCATTTTTGATGATGAAGACGGAAGAAAATATTTGCCTTTTAAACACGCACAACAGCTGATGCAAGCAAAATGTGTGGAAAACTTCAATTACAGCAAGTTTAGATGAGTTCAAACACATAAATGTTCCCAAGTTGCTGCTTTTAACCATGAAGTCTTTTGGTGTATTTTTCCCATGGGAGGTGAATGCAGCTGAAGCCCCGATGGCGTCGCCACAGTCCAGCCTCCCTCACCACAGCCTGCTGGCTCCCCAGTCTGGATGACAAGTCTGACACGGTGAAGCAAGTACCACTGTAGCCCACCAAGGGGCAGTGTTGAGTTGAAAGGGGGGCATCCACAGTAAACAAGGGTTCCTGGGTGGGACAGACGCCTCACCGCTGCTCTGTGGGTGGTCTGCAGCTCTAATTGTCAGAGAAGAGCTTAAAGTTTGCTCCTTCTTTGCTGAAATCATCCCCAGAGTGAGGAGGAGGGAAACTTGCTCTGCTGCTGTGACTGTCACTGAGGTGTTCTCCTGGGGGAGGGGGGTCGGCGGACCGGCGGCAGGTCGTAGTGTCCTGGGATGTGGCTGTTCACAGGGAGGTCATAGTGGCTCTGGGGGTCCTCGTGTGGAGCGTGACCGAGGGAACTCTGACGCTCTGGGGGGGGGAATAGACAACACATTGAGTTAAACAGTTAAACACTAAGAATGAAAGCTCTTTTTATACTAAAAATAAATAAATTCCACTATATTTATTTAAAAAATGTCATGCCCTGATCATCTTTTGGATGCTTTGGTTTTAGTTTGGGCAAAAGTTCCTGTCTGATATGATGTTTCCACAACTGGTGTATAGTTGATTATTTTCCTTCCTGGCACTGTGAATGGGTTACACCTGTGTGCTGTTCGGTATTGGTATTAAGACTTCTGTGCACTGCTTGATTTGATGTTGCACGATGGCACAGAGCTCTTGCTGAAAAATCATTTTTTTTCATGCTTCAAATCCGATCTTGACTTACACTTGACTGGAGATTTACTCTGTCTAAGTCAGTCCTGAAAAAAGCTCTCAAACAAAAGCTTTAGTGTATAGTGTATTTAGTGTCAAAAATAAATGTATACAGAGAATGTTCTAACCTTTGCTCTGCATTTTAAAGCAAATATCATCTCGCACAAACCACATATATAAAAATAAAGTACGAATCGTCTGCTTAACACACAAATAATACGAAACACTGATAAAATATCAGTCTTTTCATCCATCCATACATCAGTTTTATATACCTACAAGAGAGAGATGGGACATGAGGTTTTTCCAAATACTTTAACCCCTCCTATTGTGTCTTGAATATTAAATCGTCTGAATGTAATGTTTTGTGGTCTTTCTCTGCCAAGTCTTAAAATATAAAATATATAAAAAAGACCACGGTTCACTTAACACATTATGAGCCCATGAACCATAATTTTAACTTCAAACAGGCAAGGAGGCCATTTTAAGTATCAATAAGTTATTTATTACACCAATTTTGTACCCTTTATTAATACCCTTTTATAAATCATTAACCACATTCTTCTGCTCCCAATAGTGCAAGTGTAAATAATAATTCATTGTTGATGAGGGGGAGTGCTATTTTTACTTTTCCTCACCCAAGTCGTTTGAAATAACCAGGATTCAAATTGGTGATATTATCCTTCACTCGGTGAAAAAAGACTGACATCAAGCCATATTTTCATTAGTCTAAGCCGGTTTTGATTAGCTTATCTTGTCATCTTGTTGTATCTTATCTCTGTGCTAAAATAACTTCCATCCTTTTGTAGCACGCTGTGTGTGAGCTGCCTACAATAACACTAGTTTCCTATCATCATGTATTAGTCTGACTTCATGTTGATGTGTTACTGGTGTTTACATTGTAACTAATAACAGCCACCCTTTCTTCTGCTCCTCCTTTTCCCTCCAGTGTCTTTTCTTCACTTCCATGTAAACAGTTGTTCATTCATCAGGCTCCGTCTTGAGAAAGCCCATCCTTCCCATCTGTCAGAGCACAAATCCTGTTCTAACGTTTGATCTAATGACTGATCGGGACTCTAAAAGAAACTTAATGAGTGTTTAATTTTGATGTCAACATTCTTTTAAGCCTCAGCTTTCTCAGATGGGATGACAAATGTGTCATCTGATTTTGATTAAAGGTGGAAGGATGATGCATTTTTGCACGTTTCTGATTCTTCTTAAGAATTGCACTAATTGACCTGACAGGCTTTAGAGCTGAAACAATCAGTGTATTAATTGATTGGTTCATAGACAGATGTTCAGCAACTATTTTGATTATCAACTAATTGTTAAAAGTAATTTTTCAAGCAAAACAATTCCCTTATTACATCTTTTAATGTGTGAGATTAGCTGCCTTTTTTAATTTTATGTGATAGTAAATTGAATATCTTTGGGTTTTCGGACTGTTGGTTGGACAAAAGAAGAGATTTAATGACGTCCCACTGACCTTTAGGAAATTGTGATGGGCATTTTATTTTACAGTTTTTATAAAACAATTAATCGAGAAAAGTTACAATTCAGAAACTCTTGATTTTGATGAAACTGAACAATACATGTCCTTACTGAGGGCATATTTACTTATGTGCATGAATATACTTCTTTATTGAGGTAAACATAAATGTACCTTCCTTGTACCTTCCTACATGTGATTGGCTCACAGAATATGCAATGTGACTCTGACCCTCCTGATTTTGTTCTTATAATATTGCTTATGTATCAGTAGATTTGATTTACAAGTCACACTGGTGACACGGATGTCTGGTGTGCTGCAGCCTACGTCCCCACATTATAATTACCTTTCTGGTTGTGAAAAAGTAAAACTGAAACTGGTGGAGGATGCTCACCTCTACGTAAGGTGGCCGTGTTGAACGGTGGCGGGCTGATCTCAGTGTACGCACGGTCTCTGGGCACAGCAGACTTCATCTCCATGTAGCTGCTCTCTGGTGGGCAAAAGGGCAGTCCGGGCAGGTCTTTGATGGTAGCGTAAGGATTCTCACTGTTCAGAGAGCTGCTGCTCACCGCCACTGTGTCCTTCAGCTCTGTCACCACACAGGAAGCAACGAGACAGACGTTAAAACACATGGTAAAAGTACATGTGGAGAGTTAGAACGCAGCACGACAGCAACATCAAAGGTTAAAGTGTAACTCTAGGTCAGGTTTTAACTTTAAAGCATTCTTTTAATGCTTTTTATGAATTATGATTTCCCAGGATTTTATGTGTTTAGATGATTTAAAGAAAACCTAATAGAGGGTTAAATATCACGACCTGTGACTAATCTTAATTGAAATCCAAATGTTTGTAACATTCTTCTATAGACTATTGTTTTGGCTGGTTTTAAAGGTCACGTTTTTAACTAAAGTGATACTTATCAGCTGTCAATTATGGTGAATCACCAGATTAAGTCTACAGACATGCTAGACATCCTTTGTACTTATTTAACACATTCATTATCTTAGCTTACCATGTTATCATGCTACCATTTGCTAATTAGCACTAAACACAAAGCACAGCTCACACTGATGGTAATGTCATTAAATTTGCAAGTATTTAGTCATTAACCAAAGTATTGGAGAAATTAAAAGTCTGACCTGATGATGGTGCTAGATTAAATTACTTTACAATTCAAAGTGTGGGCCAAATTTAATGGAAATCCATCCACTACTTGTTGAGATATTTCAGTCTGGATCAACGTGGTGACCGACTGACTTACTGACATCCATTGCCATCCATATAGCCAATAGGATGGCTGAATTTATCATTGGTTATAGTTTCTTTTATGGGTGTATGGCAAAAAAAATATATGTTAAAAAGCTTAAATTATTATCCTTTCAACATTTATGCATGTTCATGTAATCATATAGCTTTATGTAGCATCCCCTTGTTGGTGTAGTTTTGGTATCCCTACTTCTCTATAGTAGGTCATAGGAGAGGAAAAGAAGAAAATAGGTTAATAAACTACCTTTGTTGTAATATTTTCCAAGGCTGGCACTGTAGCTGTAGCTCCGGTCGATTCCAAAAGCTCCTGTAAACAATAAAAGACAAATCTGGCATCTTCATTTTCATTTATGGCAAACTAATCAAAAGCAGATAAGCCGCTTTGGAAACCTGCAAAATCAATACCAGGTGAGTAAAAGCTGGCAATCGACTATCTCTTTTTATGAAGTCCTTACTGTTTTTTATGGTCTCAAATGTGCATTGTTGACTAAAACGATTTTCTGTCCAAAGGAAATGTGATGGTCGATAAACTCTTGTGTAGACTGTAAAAAAAGAGAACTTTCTACGTTTTCTCCTCAGCTGTTACAGCAGCCGTCTCTGCCCGGAATTCCTCAACATTTACACTTTCTGTGGTTTTGTTAAATCAGGGATTCTGAAGGCCTTTATCAATACAGGTATCTTTACACTGAAGCCGCTGTCAGCTGATATTTTCTGCTGGTATAAAATGTCTTTAACAATGACTATATTATTGTTAAACACAAATTCAGTGTGTTCCCCTGAAATATTGTTCTGTCTGGGTGATAAAATTAGACTACTATAACCTTTCTACTGACACTCAGAATAAGGAAGTACTTTTAGGTGTGTTAGCAGAAGGTTATATTAGCATTAAGTTGCAGGTTTAACTGATTATTTTTATGTAGCTGTGGTCCAGAGGTCAGGAAACCAACTGCTTACTTTTATTAGCTTGTAAATGTTAATCCACTCATTTCATTTTACTCTGCTGCAGCAAGTCTCTCTGCATAAGTGTCTCCTCTAAACGGATAAAACGTAAAGTCACTGATCCTAAATGTGAATCACACTGTGGCAAGCCACCTGGACGGACCTGAGTCTTTGCGGGGCTCGTGGTGTTTCCAGTCTGCAGGTAGAGTGGCATTGCTCTCAACCCCAAACAGGCCCCGTCTCTCCCTCTCCATGTTTTTCACACTGCAGAACAGCTGGTTATTGGTGTTCTGTATGACAAACAGAATAATATTCAGAAATCATCAATGAAAAGAAAAGTTAAAAAAATTACATATTTGTCACAGTACTGCAGTACAGTTGCTATAATGCCTGAAAACTGCCTGAAGTATCAGATCACTGAGTTGTAACAGAGTTGACATTCACCTTGATGGTGCGGTCATGGTTGTTGGGGAGGTGTGGCAGTGGAGGCCTGTTCTGGCTCAGTGTGTGGTAGCTGGGGTTGGAGTAGTAGTGGTGGTAACTGTGAGGAACATCTGTATGCCAAAACAAACACATGGAATCACGTCTGCTGCAGTAAAAATTACCTCAAGGTCAATAAAATGCATCTCTCTGGAACACTAATTACAAAAACACAACAGTGAGATACAACCAAAACCACACTACGACCAAGAACAACTATTAAAACATAAAACTGCTTATATCTTTTGAAAATGTTGACCATCCCCTAAAGAAAACTAACTGTCGGCTAATATTCACTGCTTGGCATTGAATTTGATATCCCTCTATCATATACAAATCATTACAAATACATGCCATGCAGACAAGACTAGTCCAAATCCAAACAACTTTTTCTCTCTTTCTCTTAAGTCTAGTTTACCAAATTCAGGCTGAATTCAAGTGAAATGTTTCAAAAAAGTTTGTGGCTCTAGTCAGTCTAGTGTTGTATGGCAGGCTGCTGTTAGTCGGTGTAAACATCTGCCTGTGACAGAACGGTCACATCTGTTCCAGCAGCCTGGCTGAAAACGAAAGGGGACAGAGCATTTGCAGTCAGGGCCCCAAGGCTATGGAACAATTTGCCTGTGGAAATCAGGTCGGCTGAATCACTGATCTCCTTTAAGTCTCTTCTTAAAACAGAGTTCTTCACGGATTTTACTTGAACTGCCTTTTATTGACATTGTTTTTTATCAGTTTTCTTGTTTTATCTGGTTGAAATTTTCTTTTAAAACCTGATGATTTTATGACTTGTGTTTTATTTTTTGTGAAGCACTTTGTAATATAGAAGTGCTCTACAATAAAGATTATTATTATTATTATTATTATTATTACTGATTTATGCAATGATTTGATTGGCTATATGGAAACAAGTTATCCAATTATGTAGGCAGAGAACTAACAGTGTAACAGACAAAAAGAAAGCAACTTCAGACTTAAATGAAGTGTTAGAACAGGTACAGAATATACAGTACTACTTATTGTACATACATTGTACTACGTACTACATTGTATGACCTGATAAAAATATCCTCTGTCCTGTACCTGGAACGGCGTACTCAGAGTTGACTGTGCGGCTGGTGGAGAAGGAGACAGTCGGCGTGTTGTTCTGCTTGTCCTTCTGCCTGCGGCGGTAGAGCAGCAGCAGAGCCAGCAGCAAGACCACCAGGATGACGAGCACGACGATGCCACCAATGGCGCCCCACGACTCCCTCTCACCGGGAGGAAGAGGAACCATAACGCTCCCTGACTGCTCGGATGAGTCTGTCAAACAGGAAGCGGAAAGAGACAGGGACTTTATATAAGCTACTCTACTGTCTTATTTTAATGTCATGAAGGCTTTGATTACTTGGCCCTAAAAATGATCAAAATTTTTACAATATATGAAGGAATCAGAATGCATAAAACATTTGCATAATGTAAACAATTGTTATTGTTCAAACCACGTAAAAAAATTCATTTTGTACAGGAAATTAAAACTGATATACTCCATCCAGTATACCGCCCAGCTCTAAAATCAAGTACAGCAATTAAAGCAGCTTTCATTAACTTTCCACCTCTGGGATGGAACAAGGACAACCATAGAAACAACACAATTTCCAAATGGAATATCAAGGAAGTTTTTATGCACTACTTTTTAAGAAAAAGACTAAATAAATTAATACAGGCAAAAGAGGAGAGGCAGTCGGTGAAAGTTGATGTATAAGCTCCTAAAATGTATGCATGTATACCTTGTTTGCAGTCATCTCCTCCACCTTCACACACACAGTCTCCAGTAAATCGGTCACAGATGAGGTTGGTCGGACAAGAACAGGTCTGAGTGCAGAACGGCCCAAAGCGTCCTGGACTACAGGCTGGAAAACACAAGGCACACATCACATCCACCTATTAGACTCATGTAAAAAGTATTTAACTTTAGTGCATATTACAGCAGGTTTGGGATGAATAGTAGTTGACACAATGCTGAATACAATTATAATTAATCTTTCTTACTATTTTATTCTATTTTATCTCTTTAAATGAAATGTGTTTCAACATTATACTGTAGAGATGCCACAATTAGCTGATTAATCATATAGTTGATCTGATCAACAGAACACTACTCCAATAAATACATTAGTCCAAACACAACAATTCTTATTGTTTACTAACAAATAAAAACATACCTTATGAATATTATATTCTCTTTCTGCCATTAGATAAATATTTATACACTGGATCTTTAATACATCACCTTGGGCTGTGGGTGATTCTTCACTATTTTCTGACATTTTACATATGAAGTGATTGAGATATAAATATATAAAAAATAATTAGCAGATTGACTGATGATTAAAATGGTTTTTAGTTGCAACCCTGATAGACAATATATATTTTAAGCAAACAAAAACCCTTAAGAGGGCATGTAAGCTGTGAATATATTGGTGGTAATAGTGGCTTGTACACCAATAATACCAGTTGATAACACTAAAGGACCCTCTTGTTATGTTGTGATTGCTGTATCAGTCAGCTGTATTCCTCTCTTAGCAGTCATATTTCAGAAAAAGCACTTTTCTAGTTGTTATATAGCGTTGCACTCACGTATGGAGCAGTCCGTAGCAGTCCAGCCAGGCAAACATTCACAGTGACCGTCCCTGTGGTCGCATGTGGAGTTGTTGGCACAATTGACACACACTTCAGAGCACAGTTTGCCATAGTAGCCAGCTGGACAAACTGTGAAACACACAATGTCATATATAAATTACTTGCACTAGGTTATGTTGAGATTGAATGTAGAAGATGTCTGTAACATCTATACCATGTGTTTAATGTATAAAATGAGTTTGGATAATTTGCACATGGGTGTATAATTATTGATTTAAATACAAACCTTGATCACAGTTGGCTCCAGTATGTCCGGGTAGGCAATCACACTCTCCTGTCACATGGTGGCAGCGGTACGACTGGCCACAGGATGGGCATGACATACTGCACTGGTCACCGTACATACCTGCTCTGCATTCTGGGAGACAGGAGATAAAGGGTGAGCCAAGGCAGATGTTACGCAGTAAATCCAGTACACTTCTGGTTTTGATATGATGTGATTTTTGTTGTATTTCAGCTGGCTGACAACAACACTCACTGTTCTGACAGGTGACTCCCCAGTAGCCTGGGCGACACACACATGCTCCAGTTTCCCTCACGCATGTGTAACTGTTGGGGCAATGCTTGAAACAGGTCTGGTTACAGTGGCGCCCCCACAGGCCCTCTGAACATGGTTCGCTACAACGAGGACCTTGAGGGGAAACATTTGCGGATGAATAAGTATTGCAGACCCACGCTGAGTGTGTTTAAGTATTCATATCCTTTACTTAAACTACTACTTAACTGGTGAAACAGTGTCAATTTAATACTGATGTCTCTATATGACCCACATTAACAAACAACACCATCATCATTAAGTTCTTCTTAATGCCTGCTACTAGGTAGGAGTTGTGATGATGTTATGTTATGATGTTATGATGATGAAATAATGAAATGAGGCAGTAGAAACACTACCACTTTTGTCCACAGGGGCCGCCAGAATCAACACAATATGGAAGTTCCTTGTAGGAGCTTTAAGTAAAATTGGCATTAACTCAATGGATACTCCATTTTCCCATACCTAAAAGTCCTGCATTGATCAATTTAATTCAGTAAAAGCTATCAAATGTATGTTGATGTTAAAAAACTTTGATACTTTAAGTACTTCTAGCTGATTTACTAAAGTAAGATTTTGAATGCAGTAGTTTTATTTTTAAAGGAGTATCATTGCTACTTTTACTTATGTAAATGCTCCCTCCTTTGCCATTGTATAAAAATTGTTGTCAGTAATGTAAGGTGTAAGTAATTTAAAAATTAATTGGCAAAAACACACAATGTCACTGGTGGTTCTTTAAGTTAGAGAGCAGTACAATCATAATCAAAGAGAGTGTTTTAAAACCTGTGGATCACTTAGTTCTGTTGGACCAGATTTATCTGTTGTACGAAAGCCAAGTTGGCAGCGACAACAGGAGGACGTCATCACTTACCCCACCAACCTGGCAGACAGTGGCACTCCCCGGTGGTAGCTTGGCAGCCATCGGCCTGAACACAATCACACCTCTTCAGACAGCCTGGCCCAAACGTGCCCATCTGCACATGTGAACAAATGCCAACGGGCAAAGAATTGTCAGGGGAATCTCTTCAACACTCGGCCAGCTCAGTGAGAGTCAGACAAAATACTACACTGGCAGTGTGTTGTTGTATAGACAGCCTGGTGGGTTGGCATTGCAAAGAGAAGAAAGGCACAGGTCCAAAACACAGATTAAAGCATACAGAAGATGAGGTAAGGGATGAAAAGCTGGACAACATTTCTACACTGTCCAATCACAACTGACATATTCTGTATAATTATCACCTTATGATTTGTGTATAAGTCTTATAAAAGATAGCAGTTCATTCGTCTGCTCAGCTTGAAGTAGAATAAATATATAGTTCATTTTTCTTATCTTGTGTAGTTAGGATTATTTTACAAAGTGACATGTGTTTTCATGCAGTGCTGTGGGTTGAGTCCAGGACATTTTCTGTTGCTTTGGGAGACAGAGAAGAAGTGGGAGGATAAACTGCTGCACTTGTACTTAGCACCTCCCTTTATTTAATATTTTTCTACTTTTATTTTATTTTACTATGTGTGTATATTTTATTTTCCTACATATATCGGTTTTAATAGTTATACTCATCTTACTTACCTTTTTATTTACAATTTACCCATTTTTGCCTGACAAAAGTCGTCATAATCTAAATTCTAACTTTAGTACAGAGTAAGTTTCATGAAATAAAACAGATTATTGTCTGTATTGGTGATATTTTGCATTTTTAAAAGATCATACAGGTTAGAGTTTACCCACCTTTAGGAAGAAGGTTTCTAGAAAAATATGTTTTTTTCTATTTGTATTCACGGTATTATTATTATTGATTATGATGGATCAGTTTTTCCACCTCTTTATCACTTTTCTAAGCAACTAAATTAAGCTATAAAGCCTCATATCCAGGCATTTACCGGGCAGGGTTGGTCACATCGCGCCCCCTGCCAGCCGGCTGTGCAGGTGCAGGATCCATCTGCAGGATTACATTTTGCTCCATTGGCACAGTGGCAGGTGGCGTTGCATCCTGGGCCCCAGGTTCCCTCAGAGCAGGGGATGGAACAGTCCGGCCCTCGCCAACCTGCAGACACACGAAGGACCGTCAGCCTTGTTTGATTGGTTACATAGTTGATATAAAGTTGTTTAATCAATTTTGCTCCAGTCATGCGTTCACCAGTCTGTAAACAGGTCAAGCATTGACCGTTATTGTGAATTATTACCCTCTTTGCAGAAGCAAGTCCCATCAATGGGCGAGCAGTCAACAAAGTTTTTACAGGAGCACTCCAGGGAGCAGTTCTTGCCATAGGTGGCACTTTTACATGGTTTCTCACAGTGAACCCCCTGCAATAATAAATAACAGTATTAACTTTGATAATATTCATAGAAGGCAGATAATAATAATAGGTGAGATAAACATTCGGTAAAAATGTAAATCTCAGAGCTACTGTGTACCAGCACAGAAAGTGAAAGGAAAATCTAATCTAATGAACTTATTAATTAATCCACTGATACCTAGATGCTACATACTAAACTCTACCACTCACCGTGAACCCAGGGGCACACTGGCATTGGCCGGTGGCACTATCACACACCCCTCTATTCACACAAAGACACGGCTCCAGGCAACCATGACCGTAGAAACCGTGAGCACAGGTCTCATTACAGAACAGTCCTGCCCACCCAGGCTGGCATGTGCATTCTCCTTTCATTGGATGGCAGCTGGACAGTGAAAATACAGATAAATATGATGAAATCGTCACAAAAATACAAAGAAATAAACAGTTTTCAGTTTGAAAATTTGTTGATAGAGAGGTTTTTTGCACATGTGCTAAACACTCCTAGTACACTAGATGTTCCCTCAGGATTGTTATTAGAATATGTGCGTTTACTTCTACCTCATATTTTTGTTATTCGTACAGTCATTTTTTACAGGCACAGCTGTTCTAAAATCAGAAATAATCTAATTGGTTGAAAAAAACATCTCAGCTGGTGGAGCTAATGAATCTGAGGACAATGTAGCTGAGCTAATTAGCAAACACAGGTGTTTTCAATTGTTCTGGTTGATTAGACTTCCCAGGTTAAAATAAAACAAGAGGAGTGTGTGGGAGAGGTCAATCAAGCACAGTCTGCACACACCCACACAGTCCTGAGAGGAGGTCTAATCAGGTGAAATAAAAACAGCTGTAGGACCTTTAAAGTAAAGTAAAGCAAAGCCTAGTGAAAACAGGTGAGAGTTGGGAGCAGATCTAGCTACAAAGTTATGAAGCCTAACTGACTTGAGTCTACAGCTAACAATTAAATGTGCTTGCTTCAAACTACCAGTTAGCCAATTTAGTTAGTTAGTCTCAGTATCATAGTTTTGACCACAGTTCATTATTTTCCAGTTACCCGGTAGCTAACTTTAGCCCAGTCCAGAACATTGAAAACCACGCAAAACTTGCGGTCTTCAGCAGTTAATGCAGCCAATTTACTTGTTTACTCGTCATTTCACAGACACGGGTAGCAGCACCAAGTTCATCGGGCCTACTAAGGTAAAATATATCCTTTATTGGAAATATGTTCAACATTTCCAAGAAAAAAGTCTTGATGTATGATTGTTGTAAAATATTTTGGATCAACTATCCTTCCTTAAATAAAAATCTGCACAAATCTAAAACCCTATACTGTGCTACCTAATCAAGACTGGCTTCTAAAGAGCAGATGATCTAAGGTCTAAATGGGGGTACCAGAAGCCAGCTGACTTTCCCAAAATTGTGACTCTTTGGCTCCACTCACTGAGGTTTAGCTCAACCAAAATTGGATTATCTCTGCCTCCAGACTAGCACTGCCTCAGATAAATGTATAGCTCAAACCCCTTCTTCTTATTCTTTTCACGACACTCACCTGAGTGTGTGCTTATCCTGGCAGAGACAGGTGCGTTCACAGTGCATGCCGTATTTGCCGGGTGCACACATCCTGTCCCTGCAGTGGGGACCACTGAAGCCTGGCTCACATAGACAACCTCCGTCGATGTTGTAGCAGCGTGCACCATTAGCACAGTCACACACACCTTTGCAGTCCTGACCATAAGTGCCTGCAGCACACTCCTCATTACATCTGATGGCCGGAACACAAAAAAGTTATATACATACACAGAAGAGCTGGACAAATGGAAAGTAATACAGAAGTCTGTTGTTAATTTGGACATGAACCACAAACCGAATAAACTTCAATTCTCTATTGTGGGTAGCCAGTCATGATGTCAAGGCTGTTTTTATCTGTTTCTGGTGTATATTACATAGTTAGAATCAATTATGTTTGACAGAAGGAAGGAAGGATAGGAAAGCTGCATTGGTTGGCTGTTCAGTGCCTAGAAATAAGGCAATATGACATGTTAATCAGTCCAGCTGCTTTATAATGCTTCAGTAACGAAGTACATCAAGTGTATGAGGATGACAAAATACCTAACCAAGGTTTCTCCAGACTCAACATTCACTTCACAACAGTTTTCTATTTCGGTTCGTCACTTGCAATGGAGGAAAAAAAGCTATCCCTTTACATGAGCGGGCTTATAGGACGGCCATATAAATAAAACACTTGCACAAACACACCTGTTACCAGTGAAACCTTTAGCACACTGGCACTGTCCCGTTTCAGGGTCACATTTGCCCCTGTTGTGACAGACACACTCCTCAGCACAGTTCGGTCCAAACCTTCCCTCTGGACATCGCTCTGTGCAAACTGCACCCTGCAGAGTAACAAGGAAAAAAACATTGATGAGACAGAAAGACGTGCCAAGAAAACACAGATGCATCATTGCAAAAACAGGAATCACATGCCAGCGTAGCAACTTTACAGATTGTTGCAGTTACTCAGAAAATAATCGGTTAGTTTGGTCTCTGATGGGATCCCAATCATGCCTCCTCTTATGCGAATCTTCCAAATGATACATTTTTTCACATTCTCCAGAGAAGACAGGTTGCATTAAAAAATGTCTTTAGAAATAAGTCAGTGTTACGAAAAAGGACTGCTTTGTCCAGTATTTGGAGCCAGCTGGAATATAACACATGAGCTAATTCAAAATCTGGCAACCTCCACAGATAACATTAAGGTTAGTGTCAGTGCATGAAAATTTACCATCCATCCAGGGGGGCAAGCGCAGATTCCTTTGCCCCTACAGATACCACCATTCTGGCAGGGGCATCGTGCCTGGCATTTACTGGGACACGCCTTCTCACAGCTGGGGAGAAAGGATGGGGTCGTTGCTTAATAACAGTTTAATGGACCACTTTAGTCCAAAACACTGTGTGTCCTGGGACATTCCTGAGGACTTAAGTAAATGTTTTGTTCTACAGTAAAAGTGCACAAAATAAGTGTTTCTAAAAAATGTATTATTCAAACATCAGCACAAACAGTGGTGTAGAGTAGTTAACCACATTTACTATACATAATATACATAATTATGTATAGTAAATGTGGCTGTACTTGAGTATTTTTTATAATTCTACTCCACTACAATTCAGAGGCTAATATTGTGTATTTTACTCCACTATATTTAATTGATTACTGTAGTTACTTCAGATAGACAAAATATAATCAATCAAGAAATGATGGTATATTATTAAAGACTTGGGTAAGACTTTATTGATCCCTTGGTTAAATTTGCAAGCTAGTAAGTAAAATGTGTTCCACCCTTACCAGCTGCAACATTAAGTGATGAACTTTAAGTATATTTTGAAGCTGTTACTGAAGCAACATTTTTAATGCACAACTTTTACTTTTAACCGAATATTTCTACACTGTAGTATTGCTACTCCCACTTTAAGTTAAATGTCTGAGTACATATTGATGTCACCGAGTACATATTGATGTCACCACTTACATAGATTACAACTGGGAAATCCTGCAACTCTAGAGTGGCTGTATACAGTTAATGACCACATACATGGACAACGTTTTAACAGTTTGTACAGCCCTATAATATTCTCCATACTACTCGGAAGAAAAGTAGTATAAAAAACGATGAGCCAGAAGAAAACCAACAGTAGCTCCCTGATTACTTTAAGACTTGGCATTACAACAGCTTTGTGGGAATCATCAGCACAGTTGGAACGTGTCTTTAACCAATCAGATTACTTGGCTGAAACTACCTATTGTACAATTCATTGTAGGGGTATTATATTTTGTAATGCGCCCTTGAGGTATATTAACATGGACAAACTTCAAATATACACAATTCATCAAGGAGCTCTATCCCATAATCAGTGTTGCCAAGCCCCCTTTTTTATTTAGCTCAAAGTGGTGTGTTGTGCTTTCACATTGGCAGTATAAGAGTTTCCACTAATATCTAGTGGGGAAGAATTTTCATTGCTTACTCATCCTCAGGGGCATCTAAAAACAGGGTGTAACAGATGACTCATGGATTATTGTATACAGCAGGGTCTTTTTTTCCTTCTTAAAATTAAGTTGTGGAAATATGGAATAACTTGGTAAGAACTGACAGATCTGTTTGTGGCAGACCTCCTGAGATAAATAAAGATAATGAAGTCTAATGAAGTGATGTGTAATGAAGTATCTGAGGTATCCAGTGTCTCCTAAATGAAATAATGAACTGTACATACTCTATACATATCTATACATATCTCAACAATTATTTAATGGATTAAGATTAAATTTTGTACAGACCTTTGTGGTCTCTAGAGACTGAATCCCACTGTCTCCTTTGACTTTTCATCTAACCCCACCATGACTTTTACACTGTTGGCTTTAGTTTATGATAATAATGGCATTCCCATCAGCCTCAGCCTTACTTTGTGTTTAGTACTAATTAGTTAACACACTAAACTTTAGGTGAGCGTGATAAACATTATACTTCCTATACATCAGCATGTTACACTGTCATTGTGAGCATGTTAACATACTGATGTTAGCATTTAGCTCAAAGCACAGCGTCACAGAGCTGCTAATATAGCTGTGTAGAGTCTTAGTCTTGTTGTTATTTGTGTGTCTTGCCTCAAATTGCTTGAGGGAAGAAATAAAGTATTTTAATTGAAAATTATCTGTATCTAAAATTTAAAACTATGAAAAGGGGAACCTTTATTTGGAAATTGAAGTTTTTAGGTCAATGTTTTTCTCTGTTTACAAAATCAACACAGCATTTATTAACAAATCTCCTAATATGGAAGGATCCTTTTTACTGCACTTACAAAGTTCCAGTGAATCCCTGCCGACATAAGCACTCTCCTGTGGCTTTATCGCAGGATCCTCCAGTCCCACACTTGCACCTCTGCAGACAGCCCTTCCCGAAGGAGCCTGCTGGACAGGAGTCCTCGCAGTGGCGTCCTATGAACCCCGGGGGACACTGACAAGCCCCCTTAACAGGGTCACAGAGAGCTCCGTTCTCACACTTGCACTGCTGACTGCAGGCTGCCCCCCAGTGTATGTCGTCACAGGCTGAAAGGTAACAAGAAAAACTATTATGTGTTGATTATTAAGTTTATTGATCCAGACTAAGATACTGAAACAAAAACCTCTAATTCTTCTGGTTTATTTGTGCTAAATTAAAACTAGGCTTTTGGTTTATGTGATTTGCTTTAGCATTTTTGTTTAATCTGTCTCCAAACTTGATAAAGTTCATTCTGTTTATTGGATTTAATCTCAGTGAAAATACCTGTAAAAAACTGCATCCATTGAAAACACCGAACTTAACATTGGGCATCTCCTCACTTCTTAAAACTCAGGAAAACTTTTTTTTTCGTTACTGCCTAGGGCCTACACACTTTCACACCAGGGAGGTTCTCACTGTCATTGCCCACATTTTCCAATGATTCAAACCAGTCAGCTTCCAGTAATACCCCCGCCTCCCTAAACACTGAGTCAATCCTACTCTGCAATAAATGAAATAAAAACACTGAAGCAAAATAAAATTACATATGATTACTGTAACTTTTATATGGTGCCAGCATCATCATTTTGAGTGAGTTTTGTTCATTCAATTTTACTGCCATACACAGTGGTATAGACATACAGTAATATATGATGTCATAAAAACAAATACAGAAACAAATCTGATTAAATTTAGTGTGTTCAACAGCACAGAGATGAATAACAGAACAGAAACAAAAGAAAAGTACTGACTGCCACACATTACTGTGGACCCTCTCCCCATGCTTTCACATCCAAATCCTCCCCTTTAGCCCAGGAGTGTTATATTACCAACAAATAACTTCAAATTGGCAGGGAGATTTGCATGGAGCTCACAGGATGGGGGGGGGGTTTAAATGGTTAATTTTACAGAAGCATGGCTCCAGGGGGTTTAATGTAGAGTGGAGATTCACACAAGGTTTGGATTTCAATTCATGATGAAGAGATCTCAGTCCGCTGGGTTGTGTTATGAGAACCCAGATTGGTCAAGGGTGCATTCTTTAAATTTCTCATCAATAACTTAGGCTGTCTTGGACTTTTGGACACCATCAAGAAAATGTGATATCCAATAGCGCTGACGTAACACATGGATGGGCTTCAGTTGTCTTCTCTCAAGCTAAAAGCAATTCCAACAATTTCATGCTGACCTCATGTAAGCAGCAGACATTCATGCACAGAATCAACTGTACACTAAGGCTGGAGCTACACGTCATACCGAGTCCATGTTCCCAGTCTCCCACACCCCCCTACCTTAGTCTCCAAACATATGCCCTGCCAGAGCTTTGAAAAGTACAAGGACTGCTTTGACAATAATTACACAGAAGGTAGAGTAGAGCCAAATTTGGCCTGGAGCTAAGTGCGCTGCCATGGTCTGCAGTGTTTACTGCACTGACTTGGAGCAGGACCCTTGCCTCTTTTTGTTTAAATGAATCATAACTTCACTTGTTCTCTGTGTGGGCATTAGAGAGGGGTTCTGCCGGAGTGTGTCACATTGAATAATGAGATTTACTGAAGGGTCTGCAGGGCTGGTATATCCAGACAGAAGATGAGTGAATGGGTGAAATTTACCAGATTGGATGTTCTTTTTTAGCAACCAGCTGGCAGAATCCAACCCTCCACTGAAGAATATCAACACTCTTCCCATCTGTTTGTTTATCTGCATGTAAATATACATCCTCAAGTGCAAGACTTTCTCTGATAGTGTTGCTGAGTTTGGGTTCCTTCAACAAATACACCTACTTTAACTTAACTCAGTCTAACTTTGATTTAATCATTGTAATGGCACGCACCGATCAACCCAAAATTGCCAGAAGTATGACATTTGACGTCAAAGCAGCATTCATGGCCAATTTTCTTTCTAATTGTTTGCATCTGTGCATGATAGTTCAGTGACCTACAGCATGTTTGTTTATTTATCACAGTGACACAACAAAATACGGTGGCCCTGAAGTACAAACCATGACCTCTCAGAAAAACACTAGCAAATCAGAAAATACAATATTCTATGTAACAAATTTGCAAAACCAAAAACCAAAGTGGAGAATTTCCTGGTGTATTTTAGATAGCAATATTAGCAATGTTGTAACTAGATTGATCAAATACCCTGAAAACCTTTTTTCTCAATCAGGTACTTACTATGTGCAGTGAGGTCCTACATGAACACACAATTTTCTCCCAAAATTAGATCAGTTTTGGTTTGTAACCTTTAAATATTCATAACAGTTTTTTCCATCCCTCCTTTTTGTCACCTCGTGTATAGAGCGAAGAGTATTGAGTATACTTCTCCCTCCTCTCTTCTATTCTCTATATTCATAACCAAACAGTCATAAGAGTGTTCAGTAAGAAAACCTCAGGCCTCTCTCCTCTTTCCCATACTTAGATTGCTCAACACGCAGGCATCCAGGAAGTATTAGGCTTATTCTGCCAAAAAGTTTCCATTATAGGACGATATAGTAAAGCCAAGGCCGGAGAGAGAAGGAGAAGAAGGAGGAGGAGGAGGAGGAGGAGAAGTAGAAGTAGAAGAGAAAAGAGTATAGTGAACGGGTGAAAACAAAAAAAAAATGAAGTGAGGGTTTGTGGAGTGGGGGAGGGAGTGTAAGGAGAGACAGAGAGAACTGAGCCATGCAAGAGAGAGAGAGTGGGGTAACATTTTCCATTTCCCCTTCCCATCATCCCCCTGTCAAGACATCAACCGCTACCCGTTAAAGCTAATTCCTTCTCTTTGCAGAGGAATAGGGGGGGAAATGAAGGAGGACTGTGTACTATTGACCCAGCTGACTGCGATGAAACGGGCTAGAGGTAGTGGAAAACTTCATTTTAGTGAGAGCAACAGCAGCCCCGCAAGATGTGGTTCTGGTTTCACACTCCACGTTGTTTGGACGATCAAATTTAAGGAGATTTCAGACAAGACAAACAGGGTTAGACTCACTGTTCTGAGTTGGTGCCTTGAATAACGATTATATAACCATTTCTGCTGACTTTAGTTTTATAAAAGAAGCCATAATGGGTAAAAAGAGCAGGTTTAATGTCTGTCTTAACTCTTTTTTTATTGACTATGGCTACTTTCAGTATATCATACAGTATTTAACTCATAACTTATTGCTCTCATGCTCTTTTGTAACATCTTTGTTGGAGTATGACTTTTCACTTTTATTACACTGGATTGTTTTATTCCTTTTACTTTAAAGCCGCTCAACATTTGAGCTATTGTTATTAATTTTTAATAGTAACTGTGAGTGAGAGGTGGAGGTGCAACTCGTCGTCCTTCTGGTCTAGTAAACTGGTTTCTGGACTGAGGCTGACAGTGATTACTCATCGCTGTGCATGCAGTAATGCTCCCTTGCTGTTTCCATTGGAAAGGCTTTCTTCGTGTGATGGAGTGGTGTATGTGAAGATCAGCCACTTGACTAATGGCCAGTTGTCATTTCCTGTTGTGTATGTCAAGCTTATGTGTGGTGGTTTGGTGTGTGTGTGTCGTGTGTGGTGTGTGTGCCTGTGTGTGTGTAATACACACCTGAATAGAGAGGGGAAAGGGAGAAAGTGATGGGAGAAAAAGCAAACAAGAGAGAGTGAGGAAATGTCTGTGCGCGAGAGGAAAAGGCTGATTCATACCGCTGGAACAGTCGTCGCCTCTCCAGCCTCCCTCACACTGGCAACGGTCCGGAGCAACACATCGACCGTGGACACACTCCTTGGTGCAGCGAGCTGTTGATGAGAAACATACTTTATAACAGACCCAGCTTTGTGAACTGAAAATATTCAGTATGCA